CCGCTGTTGCCGAGGCGGGGTTGTGCTGCGCATGATCACCGGAATAATGGTTGCTATGGTTCAGGCCGGCATCTCTTTGTAACTTAATGCCTGAACTTCTTTTTGCGTGCCGCTCTGGCTGTAGAAGCAATGGCTTCGGCTGTCTGTCACATGAACCGCAGAGCCATTTCGGCTGGGAAAGCTCCTTAAGATCATCGAGTCCAACCGTTAAGCCCACCGCCCAACCATGTCCCCCATACCACGTCTACACGTCTTTTAAATACCGCCAGGGACAGTGACTACTGCTTCCCTGGGCAGCCTGTTCCAGTGCTTGAAAACCCTTTCGGTGAAGAAATTTTTCCTAATATCCAATCTAAATGTCCCCAGCGCAACTTGAGGCCATTTCCTCCAGTCCCGTTGCTTGTAGACAGACAGCACCTCACTACAACCTCTTTCAGGCAGCTGTAGAGAACTACAAGGTCCCCCCTCAGCCTCTTTTTCTCCAGAGTAAGTTTCTGGCAGCTGTTTCTGCAGCATGTGGCTCTTCTGCACATTTTCTTCACAGCAGCTCTTCAGAGCATGAGAGTTAAAAATTGGCCACAAACGTATTTAGAAACTTACTGAAGTGTATCCAGGTTTTACTACACCAAAATACATATTGAGGAACCTGCGTGCTTCCTGAAAAGTTCTGACAAGTAAATGCAAGTTGAAATAGTTGTAATTTTACTGCCATTTCCTTACAGCACTTATGTTCTGTCTTGTGCCAGGAGGAAACTCTGCATTTATGTTTTTTGGGGTTTTTTTTTCAGCAAATACATGCTTACAGAAGTTAAATAATACAAGATTTCAAATCATAAAATGTCAGAAAATATTAAATAAACTACTGGAGGTAATTTCTGGTTTTCTGTTTTATTTTTAAGTCTGATTTAATCAAAGAATTTTTATTCTCAATAAAGAGGCAGCTAGTGACTACAACTTGTGTCGTAGACTGAAGGATCAATAAAAGAAAAAACATGAATAACAGATCTCTGCCTTTATTAATTAAAACTCATTATCATATCACACATTTCTCTAATACAAAGTCTTAAACTCTTCAGCAAAGGAGAAAAGTGCTTCCTAAGTGCCTAGTGAAATATGATGCAGCCTTGTAGGATGCTGCTGCCATACAGATTGCAAATTCTGTTCAAGACCTGAATTGGAAGAATGCTGACCACATAGTCCAACATTCACAGTATAGTTAAATGCCAGAATAACGCTTGGTCTTGTGTGCAAAGATAGAGTCTTTAGTGAAATGATAAAAAAACCTTCACCAGCGTATTATGCCATTTGTCATTCAAAGCACAGAATCAACTGTGAATGAATAGCCATTTCATATTTACATTTATCCTTGTTGTTCCATATATATCCCATCCATTATATCCTATCCTTCATAACATTTAATCCTTGCAGTGAAATCAGGAGTTATTTATAGATCTCTGGCATTACGGAAACCTTTCATCATTACAAAAAATAAAACAAGAAATGAATGCACGTTACAAAAGATCTGTAATATCTCCATCTTATAAAGGAGTAATATTTACATATGTATTTTTTTAAAGTGGCAGTCCAATTGCCCAGGATAATGAAATGGCCCTGTAAACAGAATTATCCATTCTCTCATTGCAGTCCCTTTCTTCAGTCCCTGTCATCAAACTTTTCCAACATTAAGTGGCTATGATCAAAGTCTACTTAAAATACCCAGCGGAAAATACCAGTCTGAGACCACAACTAATAAAACCGATTTTTTCTCAGTGGAAAAAAGATAAATTAGGGGAAAAATGCAAGGAGATAATGCTTCTTAAAGCAGTTGAAACCTATCTGACATATGAAACAGTATATTTTACTATCTTAGTAGTAGTTAAGAACAGAAGAAAGAAATACCCTCTCAGTGAAAACAAAAAAAAAAAAAAAAAAAAGCTGTTTAGTCATATTCTTTCCCCAACAGCAGCTGCAGAAGACACTGTAGGAAGAATGCAGCCTCTTTCTGTCATGTCTGCCCCTTACGCTCTGCCAGCATCCACAACTGTTACATTAGAGGCATAAAAATTTTTAAGCACAGATCTTAAAAACTTGATAGTCCATGTTCAGCAGCCATATGATTACATGGAGCAGAACAGTCTTCAATATCATGTATTTGTTATTATTGCAGACAGAACAGCTAGATTTTTAGCCATCCTTATTTGTCATACAGATGCTTGCAAAAGGCTGTGTTTTCTTCCCTCTCTATACCAGTCTTTGCATGTAATGTCCCCAAAAAAGGACCATTTAAAACTGCCCACTTATATTTGAAGAAATCAGCCAAGGTGGACCCAATGAAATAATAATATTTTCCACATCTTACATCGTTCAGTACTCACATCTGCATTGTAGATATACCTAATTCTTTATATAATATCCCATAACTTTATGTTATGTTAATCAATAGATATTAAAATGTGCTGTTTATATGCAAATTCAATATCATGGTTCATGCCTACATTGACTTAAAATAATATAATTGTTACCAAACCTTTCCTTCTTTCCATAAGTAGACACAAATAAATTATTTTAAAATAGTCAGCAAAATTTCCAATATTTGCCAGTATGTGACTGTATATAGATTGAATACATTTGCTGTAGACCGGTCTTACATAAAGAGTACATAATGCATTAGCAGATAATGCCCCATTTGTCCAAGAGCAAGGTGTTATCTTCCACTCTCATTCTTGATTCTTCTTTTCTTCTCCAAAACCTGCCAAATATGTGCTGCTTGTAGGAAATTCATGACATTACCTCAACAAATAATTTTTCATAGTTAATAGTCAGGTCCTACAAAGATTAGAAACGAATGTATTCAGCCACATGCAGGATTTGACCCGAAGTCTTATTGGCAACCTCCAGTGTTTTATTCCACTTTTGAAATTCCAGGTTTGTCTGTGGATGGATCTCCTTCTTCCAAGTCTGCAAATTCTTGCTCTATAACTGGCTTCAATATTTTCTCGATTTGCGTAAGTCTTTTTTTCAGTTTCTGTTGTGCAGCTTCATACTCAGCCAACAACCTGGCAAACTTTGTTTGTAATCTGTCCATTGCCCCTTCCATGTAGGTGACCTTCTCTTCCAGATCTTTAGGATCACTTCCTAAATTTGCAACTTCAATGTCCAGCAACCCATCTTTCATTAGGATTTGCTTGCCTTTTTCTTCTAGCATAGCCTTTGCATCTGGATACTCTGTTAAAGCCTCCATGAGATCATCTTTAGACAAACAAAACAAGTCTGAGTATCCAATACTTCTAATATTGGCTGTTCTTCGATTGCCAGCTTTACTACCTTTGATGTTAAGAATGCTGATTTCTCCAAAATAGCTGCCATCACTTAGGACCACAAATTGGGTAATTCCATCATCAGCGACCACTGCCAGCTTGCCTTCTTTGATAATGTACATCTCTCGTCCAATATCTCCTTTTCTGCAAATATAATCTCCAGGACTGTATACTTGTGGCTGGAGTTTCAAAACCAGTTCAACCAACAGACCAGCTTCACAGTCTGCAAAAATACGAACTTTTTTTAGTGTTTCCAGGTGAACATTGATTGCAATCTCTGCTCTCAGTTTGTCTGGCAGGTACTTCAAGACTTCCCTTTCATCTACAGCCTTTTTGTTTGTCCACAGATAGTCAAACCACTTTATAACTCTTTTTTCCATGTCTTTACTCACATTTCGAAAGTGCATATACTGCTTGATAGCATCAATCCTTGCTTGAAACTCTGCCCTGGCAGCATTCATGTTGGAGATCATAGAGCCCACGTTACCAACAATGGTAGCGAAAATCAATACTCCAACCAAGAAGTCAACAACCACAAAGAAATACTCAGAATCTCTTACAGGAGGTGGTGTTTCACCAATAGTAGTTAGGGTCAGTGTTGACCAGTAGAGACTGTAGACATACTTTCTAGTCAGACGGGCGAATTCAGGGTCGGAGGTGTTGGGGTACACCCATGTGTCAGCCCCAAATCCAATGGCTTTTGAGATTGAGTAGTATACACAGGCGTTCCAATGAATAATAATCACAATGTACATGACAAGGTTAGAGATCCTGAAGATATTTGGGTAGTTTGTCCTTGTTTCTGTTCGCTGGAAGAATTCAAACATCCGAGCTACTCTGAGTAGTCTGTTTATTCTTAATTCTGGGTAATTCAGTCCTAACTTAAAGTATAAGAGGTCAGTTGGTATGACTGACAGAAAATCTAATTTGAATTGAAAAGATGTCTTATATTTCTCTCGAAGCTTTTCTTCTTCTTTCACCAGAAGACCTTGCTCCAGGTAACCTAAAATCAATTTGTAAATAATAAAACATGTTATGACTTCAGCTGTGTTGTGTTTAATGTCAATCAAAATCTACTTTGAAAAATATTTTGCTGCAAGTTCCGGATGGTACATGACTTCTCTTACTTTTAATAAGCAATTTCTCATTTCCAAATATTCAACTTAGTGCTACATGGCTCAGCTTGAGCCTAAACAGCTTTGAAAATGAAACATTTCTAGCTCTGATTATTTCCCTCCACTGTTTCACTATGGTGAACATCTGGAAAAAACCCCAAATCCCCCCAAGAACTCCATGGGCAGTTAATGATGGAAAGAATTTGAACCTGGGTATTTCAGTTCCATAGTGAGTGTATCTACTCAATAACTCTGGATGTAGGATAAGATTTTAAAAGAGACAGTTGCAGTTGAAGTTAATTGGATGTCTTCCTTGTTCAATGGTCTTTAAAATCAAGCGAATACTTGAATCTCCTTAAACACAAAATCCAGGTTTAGGTGCTATTTTTTCATAACCCCTGATCCTCGCTTGTCCACATTGCATGTTTTTTCTGTCTTGTTGAGTCAGCTGCAGGCCAAACAGCTTGTATCTAGCTTACCTCATGCCTAGCTTACCTCAGGCTTAATGTGTTGTTTGAGTAACACATCAGAGTTTCTCCTGTTTTTATAGGTCACAGACTACAGTTTTTCGGTGACCTATCTTGATGTCTTTTTTAATAACGCACCTCATCAAGGGTACCCAGATAATAAGAGTAGTATTATGAATATTTTAAACCACCTGACACAATTATATGAAGAGCAAGAATAAATCACTGAGTCTGTTTACCTGTTCTTGTCCGTACAAACATGTCAGCAATGTAGATGGCATCAGAAACGTAATCAATAATAAACCATACCGCTAAGTAGTCATGCTGAAGCTCATCAAAACAGGCTCTGAATAGGAAAAGACAAAAGTAAATTACCATGAAATGAATATTAAATACTTGCATGAAATCAGTAATTAATAAAATATTTTTTTATCTATTTAAGGATATTATGATTTGCCAGAAATTTTATATAGTAATTAAAGAGTACATCACCTGGCAATAATCATGGTCCAGTTGTACATTACAGGCATTGTGATGCAAAACAGCCAGTTGTAGTACATATTTCCTGCAGGGTCAATAATGAAAATATCTTTCTTCTTCCTACATGACAGGAAGGGGGGGGGGGAAAGGTATAATGAGAGACTTAAAATGCACATAACAATTTTTGAGGAATGAAGCATTCCAGAAATTGTTATTGTAAAATAGTTGGTCTTAACTAAAGTTAAGTTTCCTTTCTTGAATGCATGGAGAACATGAATCTACTTGCTAGGTGCAACTTAGGACACAAACTTTAGAATCTAAATTTTGCTGAGAAAAAATCAGCATGGCAGTCCCACTTCAGTTTATAGCAGCAAATGAAATTTCAACCTTTTTAAATTAATTTGTTTCCTAACCAATTAACTTATTTGTCTGATAACAGATTTGATCATCTTTCAAAAATTAAACTGATTATGTGACTACTGATGTTTAAATAAGCAAGACAAATCATGCCTTTCTCACTGGGAAAAGTCTAGCTCTGAGAAAGACAAAACATTGGCATAGTTTACATAAAGAAACTAAAGAATGTGAAATCATACAACACAAGTTCCTAGTGCACCATTTTAAGTTTCTCTTCCTTGGCCAGAAAATTATGAATTTACCAAGGTAAAGGTAAAGCAAGAGCTTTTGGATCATAGAAGAATTTACTTGCTTGTAGGTGCCCTTATGTGCAGAAGCAGTTGCTTTACACTGGCACATCTTCTGATGCAGGGTGTTATCAAAAAACATTGGATAATCAGAATCCAAATGAGGTTTTTCTTGATTAGTTTTTTCAGATCAATTCCATGCATGCATATTTCTGTTGTCCACATATGAAGTCAAATCAGAACAGCCTAACTCTAGGGAGAACAGCAGTCTGCACACTCATTCACTAGAGTATAAGCATCTTGTTTACAGGATGTCCATGAATGGATTCAGTTTTAAGTCAAAAGCAATTTTATACACTAACATAGCAGCACCTAAGTGAAAAATACTTACTCTTCTTTAATTTCTTTCTTCTTGGACTTATCTTTATTTTTGTTTTTCTCCTTTTTTTCCTTGTTCTTCTGTGTTTCTCCATCCTTTTTTTTTTCTGACTTGCTAAGAAATAGATTTACATTTTCAGTTGTTACAGACTAAGTTAAAATATATTTGTAAAGAAATTTAATGTCTTAGAAATAGTAGTGTTATTGCTCTTTATCTTACCTCTTCTTTTCTTTTTTCTTTTTCTTCTCCTCTCTAGGAAAAAGAAAAAAAGGCTCATGGGATGCACATAGCCATTGCTTCCACATTTATTTATTAGAATAATCTGAATTCAGTAAGGGTAACATTGTACTTAGGTGTTTGGCCTTCAAAACCTCTTTTGCTTATTGTATTCACATAGAACTACTTTTATTTTATGTTAATAAATATCATACCAATAACTTTGGTATTGAGAATGATCATCACAATTGATGTGCATGAAGTTCAAATGTACATGCAGTCTCCTTTGGGATTACTTGAATGACTGTCGTGGGTTAAAGTTAACTTAA